CACCCAGTTTTAGCCCCAAATATCTTAGTTTTCTACACATCTGCTTCAGTTCCTTAACAGCTATCAATTTTCCACCACTACACGCATTGGGCGTCCAGAACTTTAGTTTACTAGCTCATTTCCTCTCCGGCGCTCATTTTTATCTAAGCCTGTCGTCAGGCCTCCTCACTCCACCATCTAGCACTTGCCTGCTCACACGTGTCAGGCAGGTGGAAGACGGAGGTAGGAAATAAACAGGAGATGAATAAATGCCTAGAGGCAAATAGACGCACAGGTATAAATGAATGTTTGGGGAAATAAATAAGCAAGAAGTAGGAAAATAAATAAAGGGGTAGATGACTTAACACATAAACAGACCAACAGGAAAGTAACACATACCATTCGCCCGATTGCAAAGCTTTGCAAAAGACGTCACCAAGGTAAGCTATTCCTACTAACTGTGAGATTTGCAGATGACTGGCTGCGAGGCGGGAAAAGACCTGCATCTCATCCGAGGTAGTTTCTGGAAGACTCTCCTCACTTTGTAGCCACATCGCAATCATTCACCCCCGCCTGACATGAAGAATGGAGGAATGACTAGTGCACCACAAATGCATCACATGTATCGATTTGGATGTCACAAGGATCCATAATAAGATCAGTTGATATGAGGACCAAGGGGTTGGGGCATGGGTTAGGGAATGGAGAAACAAACTGAACATCTGTGCCCAAACCCGAAGCGGAGGCTTGTGGGCGGCACTGCCCCTAATTTAAAAGATGCATTAAAAAAGACCGCCTACAGCTGAAAAGAACCTGAGCACATTATTCCGATGACATCTCTACAATCACCATGCTTTCACCTCAAGAACAGCAGACCAGCTTTCATATGTTGCAAATATATCGAGCATTCATCAACTCCGCCATCAGTTTTCAAAGTGCATTCCAAGAATAAAGCGCAGAAGACCTTTCAATAGATAGCAATGGCTCCACATTCATTAAAGCCTCTACAATTCCTCCCTATAAGAACTTTAGTTGTAACCTTTAAGCACGAAACACTAAGGTCGAGCTTCACGACGTGACGCAAAATAACCTCTTGTAAATAATCAGAGCACGTCAGAAACCAATCCTCTAATGACGCAACGAACGACATGTAAGGGGAATTCGAAGCACAGCAACTAAAAGGTTGAGGTTCCGAATTAGGCTAGCGAAATAACATTCAGTCGAACAGTTGTGAAGCCGAAGATTCCAATATTGCGGGCTGGACTCAACACTTCCCATTAAGTGAATTTAAGACGATCTATTTGCGCACGTTTGACGAATCACCAGTGGTAATGAGGTCAAATAAGCGAATCATTCAGAGAAAAGAACCAGAGCTCTAGTGAAACCCTACCATAAAAGTCAAAGGCAACACTCAATATGGCATACGTAGAAACAGCAAAGGTACATTTGACAGGGCATTTGATCACGACACCCCAGCCATTGTATTTACAATGATGACACCGATTCATACTCAAAAA